TTCTTATTGTATTATTACAGTAAAGATTTGTACTTGAAATACCAACTTCATCCGTGTTTAAGTCATTGGGAAAGAAATGAAAAGATTATAAGCATAGCTTGAAGAATAAGTATTTCGATCAAAATACTACTGTAGAGGCGATGATGGAAAATCTATCTCGTAATATGATTAGGTGGCAATATGAACAACTGGTTAGATTTTGATTCTCAAGAAAAAGAGAGGTACTAGTTTATAACTTTGTATAGTAGAATAAAATGATGAAAGTTTTTTTTGGTTTAAGTTGGTAATATTTGTATTTCTATTATATACGCAATTAGTTTTTATGATAGAAAAAAGAACAGATTGTGATTGGTAACAGAAAGCAATAGAAATATAGCCACACAAGTGGATCAAAAAGTTTTGTAAGAAAGCAAAAAGAAATTGTAAGTTAATGATAATAAACGTATTCCAATGAATGAACTTTTTCAATCATTAAAAGGTAAATATGCAAATTAATAGTTATTGTTCTGTTTTAATAGTTTTGATAGTTTTAATACATGATATTAAACTTATTGAAAGTTTTGAACTTAGTTAACATAGATGATATATATGAAAAGTTATTATTTACATATATTTACGCCTTTAATAAAGATTGGTTATGATTGTTGTATTTTAACAGTTTGGATAGCTTCACTACTTAATATTAAACTTGTCTGATTTATTAAATTTGGTTTCTATGGTTGATATGAGAGAAAAAGTTATCGTTTATATCTACTTAGGATTATTTTTTCATATAAAAAGGTAAATATACAAATTAAACTTTTTGATGGCTTTCAACGTATTGAATGGTTTCAATTCTTGATATTAAACTGAGAATAAATAATTGAATTTGGTTTCCAAGATCGATATGTGTGAAAGCCCAAAATGATTTTATTGTTTGCATATGTTTAAGACTATTGTGTTGTTACGGGGCCAAAATATAAATACATGAGATTAAAATTATTTGAAACTTTAATACTTGATTGACAGGCTTGATATGCATGAATAAGTTGTGGTTGATATGTATCATATCAAATAACATATGTTTTTATATAGGAGAATGAGATGGGCAGTACAATTGGACGTGTGAAACTTTTTCGCATAACATACATAAAAAATATAGATCTTACATGAATGTCGAAACACAAGAAATTGTGATAATTTGTATCATATATTTTAACAGAAAGTAAATATTCACTCTTTTTAACATATAATCAATTAATCATTAAACTTGATAGTTGTATATGACAAATTCATAGGAGAAAGTGAAAGAGAAAATGGCTATTGAGATTGAAGTAGCATATGATAGTTCTTTCAACATGAAAGAAATAAAAAATCAGATATTCATAGAAGTTGCTAAAAACGAAAGACATGTATAGGTTCGAAGCCTTGGATTGGGTCCAACACCATCTGACTACTATGGACATAGCTCTCCGTAATTTACATTCTCAACAAGTCAGTCTTCACGAGACATTTCAATATTGAGAGGGAAGTTACAAACTGTGCAACAATATTTTCAGCAAATAGAAGCAGAAAGAGAATAGAAGCGTACCAAAATTAAGGAAGAACGTGCTAGAATGGAGCAAGAACATGCTAAATTTCAGCAGTTGCAGGATCGATTCGATCATCTTATGAATTTTGTGCAACAATAATTTTTAGGAAATGATCTTGGTGCTCCACCAACTCAAGTATTATATTTAGTAAATATTTAAATTCTTTAATATATAAAAAGCTTACAATGAAGTGTTAAAAATTATATGGTATTATTCATTAGGTTCTTGAGCACGCTAGTGACCAAGGTAAAAAACTTTCTTCATCATTGGTAGCCAGCAAAATGTATGCAGTCATCCATTTCATACATTTTAATTTTTTATTTTGTTAATGTATATAAAATATTTGAATGTTATTATACTAATTATAAAATTTTGTATTAATTAGATGTATATTTAAACGTGAATGAAGTTAATATAAATTTCAATTTTTGAGTTTAATTTCTTTAATAAAAAAAATTTATTAAAAGAATTTAGAAAAAAAATACATTTTTATATAATGACGGTATTTGCGTTCATCGTGGGTCGTTAAATGAATAATTTAGTGGCGTTTGTAGCATAAAACGTCACTATTAGTAGCGACGCTCTTACCAGCAAATGTCACTTGTTAAGTGACATTGTTCTCATAAAAACATCACTAAAGTAATGGCATTTTTCTCATAAAAATGTCACTGAATTAGTGGTGAATAAAGATACAAATTCTGTTAATATAGAGGCGCTTTTAGATTCAAATGCCTCTAAAGTAGCAGTCTTTTCAGTTACAAATGCCACCAAAGCAATGGTGTTTTTCCTCATAACAATGCCATTAATTTAGCGATGTCTCAAAGATAAAAATGCCTCTAAAATGACGGCGTTTCAGATATAAACGCCGCTAATATTAATGCATTTTTTTGAAAACATCGCTATTTATCACGACGCTTGAATAGCCGGCACTCTGCGTGACATTTTTCATAAACACCGCAAATATTTTTGTGACGTTTATAAACACCATTAAACGTTAAAAAAAAATACCACTAAAAACCAAAACCCCTGTAGTGATGCATAACTATTTTTTCTGTATAAAGTTAGTCTTATACTCCCTCTGTCCAATTTTTTTTGTTCAATTTTCGTTTATAGGATGTCTCAAAATTATATCTTTTTTTTATATTTAAAACTCTTACTTTTTTATTTTTTAAAACTATTTTTTATGATTTTTTTAATTTTTAATATTAAAAATCATGAAACTTTAATTTAAAAAAATTAATTTTAATATTAAATACAATAAAGTCAAAGTTTTTTTTTTTTTTTTTTTAACACAGCAAGAGTAAATATAAGACAAATAAATAGGAATGGAAGGAGTATTAGTTTTGTCTTTCAAGAGCGTGTTTATATAACTTTAAATATTATTTCCAAAATACCTTCAAATTATCTTTACGTGATTATGTATGTTGCTTTATTTTTTATTTTTATAATATTTTTAATTATTATTGTTTTTTAACAGTAGCAATGCAAGGAAAACTATTTATGTTTATTTTTCATCATATATTTATCTTATAATTGAAAATTTCGTTAAATAGAGTTATACTAATCAACCTTTATGGTTTTGTTTTTTCAAATTTAAGTCTAACCATTGTAAAAGATTATTCTAAAATTAAGTTAGTACTAATTATTATGCTTAGTTAAAATAATGATTTTTTTTTTAATAAAAATTTCAGCCTATATATCTATATACTACTTCCTGGATAATTAAAGTTTGGATTGCAAATTCATTATAAAATGACGGACCAAATATATGGGACATAAACCCCAATCTAAGGGCTTATTGTGGGCTCAAATTAACGGCGGCTTACATACAATTTGGATTCTTCCGTGATGAATTAGGAAACCGACCTAAGTCAACAAGTTTATATACATATTTGTGCACAGTGTCTTCCCACCAATAGATATTTCAATTTGCAAATTTCTTTCGTCTTTGATTATGATAAAGGCTAATATGTCAGTTTTTCAAATTCAATAGTCTGACTATTAACTATTTTCAAGATTGTGCGCCATGTTACCTTAATCTTTATGCCAATTTCTTCTTTGGAAATAGTAAATTGATTTTTTTTCAAGTACGCATTGTTTTGTAAATGAGTCTCAATATACCTATCATTGTTGTCTATAACATGTTCATGTAATAAATTGCCTAGCAACTATGCATGTCTTTCCTTTTTACACAATTTTAGTTATTCATTTCTTACCACATAAATTTGATGCACTTATATAAAAAGTAGATCTTTCTATAAAAGTTTCACGTACAATATTTGATCTATTGAAAAAATCTCTTCATGTTTATTTTTTGTTAAACTTCTTCTTTTTATTCTTTGGCATGCATGTCTTTTTGGTCTACATGAACGGAAATTATATTTGTTTTAACAAACTGGTACATATGAGTAGCAAATTCTAAATACATTGTCATGTTCCAATTTCTCTTGGTAGGTACTCCTTTCACTTGAACATGACAACTGAAATAAACAAAGAACAATGTTTTTCATTAATGCTTGACTATCTTTTCTAGAAAAAGTTAGTCTTATACTTCCTCTGTCCAATTTTCTTTGTTTCATTTTTCCTTTTTAGGATGTTTCAAAATTATATCTTATTTCCTTTTTTGAACATTTAAAATTCTTTAAATTTTTATATTTTAAAATTATCTTTATGATTTATTTTAATTTTTAACGTTAAAAATCATGAAATTATAATTTTTAAAAATAAATTTTAATCTTAATATTAAATACATTAAACTCAAACTTTTTTTAAACTCCGCAAAAGTCAATATAAAACAAACAAATAGGGATGGAAGGAGTATTAGTTTTGTCTTTTAAGAGCATGTTTATATAGCTTTAAATATTATTTCCAAAATACCTTCAAATTATTTTTTCGTGATTATGTATGTGGCTTTAATTTTTTTTTTTAATATTGTTAATTGTTATTGTTGTTGAACAATAGCAAGGAAAACTATTTATGTTTATTTTCATCATTTATTCATCTTATAATTGAAAATTTCGTTAAACAGAGTTATACTAATAAATCTTTTTTTTTTTCAAATTTAAGTCTAACCATTGTCAAAAGAATTCTAAAATTAAGTTAGTAATAATTATTATGCTTAGTTAAAATATTGATTTTTTTTAATAAAAATTTCAGCCTATATATCCATATACCACTTCCTGGATAATTAAAGTTTGGGTTGTAAATTCAGTATAAAATGACGGACCAAATATATAGGACATAAACCCGAATCATAGGGCTTATTGGTTGGGCTCAAATTAACGGCGGCTTACATGCAAATTGGAATTCTTCGGTGATGAATTAGGAAACCGACCTAATTCAACAAGTTTATATAAAACGTACGTAACCTTATACCACCATCGATTAACTAGTCGTTTAAGTTCAGAGAAGAAGAAAGAAAAGTATAGAATGGAGGTGAAAGGAGTGAAGCTTAAGGTCCTTGGGAGGGGAGCATATGGTGTGGTACATTTGGTGAAACGACTTCTCCTTGTTCTGGGTTGTTTGCTGTAAAATCTGCACCTTTAACAAAGTCTTTTTCTCTTTCCAAGGAATGGGAAATATTTAAAAAGTTTATAGGTTGCCCAAATATTGTTCAATGTTTTGGTGGTTTCACGAGTTTTGAACGAGATGGAGGGTATTTTTATAACTTATTTCTTGAATATGCATCTGGCGGTAGTCTCTTGGATTTGATGAACAAGTATGGGGGCAAAATACCCGAATGTGATGTGAAGGATTATGCAAGAATGATTCTTGAAGGGCTTGTTGACATTCACAACAGAGGATACATCCATTCTGATCTTAAACCAGAAAATATTTTGGTTTTTCCATCTCAGACCGGTTCCGATTTGAATACTTTAAAGATTGCGGATTTCGGGTTAGCTAGACAATGTGGGGAAAAAGATATTCCACAACTTTGGGAATATGGCTTTCGAGCACAGCAGATTATATGTCACCTGAATCTGTGATGGGAGAAATCAGTGGTGCATTGGATGTATGGTCACTCGGTTGCATTATTGTTGAGATGATTAGTGGGAAAATGCCATGGAACTATAGCAACCTGAAAGATTTGAGAAACAAGCTTTTGAATGGAGAATCACCCAAAATCCCAGAAAACATGTCAAGTATTGGGAAGGATTTCTTAGCAAAGTGTTTTGCTAGGGATCCCAAGCAACGATGGATGGCTAATATGCTGTTAAGCCACTCTTTTCTTATGCCAGAGTTCAGCTTTTTTTCGTATGGAAGCAATCTCCCACAACTCTTCTCAGCCCTTTCTTCAACAATTTTTGACGAGGACAAATCGTTAATCCAATCCACAAAGAGTTTCCAAAAGGATGACAAATTCGGACCAGAAGGAGATTTGGTTGAAAACTTAAGGTTGCAAGTAATGAAGATGGGCGTCTAGGAATATGGTGCAAATTGAAGAATTCAAAGGCATAATCAACATGCAGATGAAACCTGAAAAAGCCACCCTCTTCCTCTTGGTTATGTTGCAACCAACATGTTATCAAAGTAGACCTGATGTTTGCTTTTAGGCTTTGTCTTGGATTAATATTTTCAAACTTTTTATTATTGTATTATGTTCTTTTAACAGTTTAAGCTTATAAATGTTCTTGACATATAGTGTATATTTTCTATATGTCCATGGCCATCCACTTTCATTAAAGTTTATTTATTGTTAACTACTTTTTCTATCAAATTGAGTAATTAACGGCCTAATGGGCAGCGGTACTGCATGTTAAACCTTTTGTTCAAAAATCTTTTTTTATTAATAATATATAAGTAAATAAATGTATATAATTTTTATTTAATTTTAATTATAAAAATATATTTTAAAATATTAGTAATTAATACCTTAATAATAAACATAAAATAAACTGATTTGGATGAGCCAAGCTCAAGTCCAATTACACCAAGTTTTTAAGGTGTTAATTGAATCACTCGAGCTATGAAAACTTTTAGTTAAATGTTAATTTCTTAATTTAATCAAACAAATAAAATATATAGTATATTGAAATTGGATATTTAGAAATCTTTCAATCACCGTACCATGCATACTTGCATAGACCATGAACCTAATTAATCGATGATATGTTCCAATGTTTCATATGCTTTACGTACGCACATTTGATGGTTATAAAAGATGTTTTATTGGCCAGTGATGGATATAAAAAATAATTCAAGTTTTTTATGAAATAAAAATCTGTAACATTTTTATATTTATAATTACAATTAAATTCCTAGGCATTTGTTTATGGTAATCCTCATTCGAGATTCTTTTCATCTCTGACCGAAATTGTTTCTTTTTATCTGAAGGTAATGAAGTTGGCTGAGGGTCTGATAAATTTCACAAATTCGATCCTTTCTTCCCTAAGCTAGCACATAATAGAATATGCTGTAATATAGAAAAAGGGAGGGTGATTTTTTTTTTCCTGCTGAAGCTTGAAAAAAATAAGCTCTTACTGCTTTCAAATGGAGTCAACTTTAATTCGTTGCTCTCCTCACTCGCTACCTCAAGCAACTAGTGTGCGAAAGATCAGTTTAAGATGGTTTGAATTTTTTTTTTTGTTGTTCTCTAATTTTATGAATTTTTTTTATTGTACTTAATTTGGATTTGAATGGATTTTCTACTAGACCCAATGTTTGCAAAAAGATGAAAAACCATCGGATTTGTTCACTGAACGTAGTCGAGTAGTCCTAGTAATTCTCTTCCCGCAGAGGAGAAAAAGAAAAAGAAAAAAGGAGAGCTTAGTCAATGACAGGCTGCAGTCGCTTTATATAAAATTAATAACCACTCTTGGGATCAGATAAATCTTTTTAAATTTTAAATTTATTCAACTAATGCTTCTATAATTTATTTATATTTGTGTATGTCATAATTTATAAGCCTATAAATTTATTATTAAACATAATTTTAAAAGTCACCATTAATATTTTTTATTTAGGCATGATTGGTTTCTTAATTGAATTTATTCATTTTAAAAACAAATCCTAAGCTTGACTCATTTAAAAAAAAAGATTTTAATTAATAAAACCAAAATTGAGTTTGAAAGTACAATTACATGTAGGATAGGTATTTCGTATTATCCAAAATTAGCCATTTACAACGCCCTTTCTAAAAGTAGTATTAGTTGATTTTGTATTATCTAAAACTTAAAAATCTTACTAGATAATCAATTAGTGGATATTATTCTCAAATTATTCCAATATATTGATAATAATTTTAAAACATTTCCTCACCTTGAGAATATTCAAGAAGACTATTTATCATGTTTGAAAGGACTCCATCTTCAAATTCATTAATATATTATAGAAAACTTTTATTTATAACAAGTGAGATTTATGTGAATCTTAATATTAAAAATCTTTTCAAAATTCTTTCATATTGATAAAATTTAAAAGAATTTCTTATCTATGAATTTACATAACAATTGTTATTTGCAACGTTCTTTGTAATTCTATCATTGCAATTCAAAATCAATTTTCATAAATAAATCACTCATTTAATTATTTATTTTTATAAATATTTTTTAATATATTGGTAAGATTTTTTGTCAAAAAGTTTCCTACAATATAGTGGGTAGGATTCATGAAAATTATATTTTTTCTTTGAACATATGTTTTTTAAAATTAATAAATTTTTTAATATGTTGGTAAAATCTTATTTTAAATTTTTTTTTCAAAATCATAAAATGCATATAACCAATATGTTGGTAAGGCTTTACCTCTTAAAATTTATTACTAAAAATTTTAACCTTCCAATATCGTCTATATTGTTTTACTTACCAAAATCTAATGCTTTTAAAATTTTACCTTTTAATAGTCTTAATACGTATTTTATTTTTCTAAAAATTAATTTTTTTAAAAAAATTATCCCTTTTTTGGAAAAGACATGTTTGTTAAATGGATAAATATCTTAAATAACAATAAATAAATAAATTTGAAAAAATGAAAAAAAAACAGTATATAAAAGATATTTAAAACTTTGACTCAACTATGAAAAGCGTCTTTGCTCGACTCTAAAGGCATAATACGTGCTTGGGCAACTTGGAACGACAATCAACTTAATAGTAGCTACTGGGAAACGGGGTTTTCAGGTCGAGTTCACCCTTACAGGTTAGGTCAACACAGCAAGCTCACATGGGTTCACAGCAAATTAATTCCTCAAAATGAAGTTATATTGACTAAGTATAAAAAGCAATAATTTTTTTTTCTTTCAGATTTTCTTTTCCCTCTCTTTCTGGTTTGTTCTATCCAACTTCTCTCTGGCATTTAGAAAAATACAAGAATATCGATGCTAGAATCTACAATCTCTTGAAAAAAATTGGGAAATCTAGTAAAAAAAAACTTGCTGAAAAATTAAACTCTGCCTAAAAAACTCATTGGAAAATTCAACATTTGTCAGAAAACTCATCAAAAAATTTAACCTCCACTAAAAAATTATGCCAAAAATTGGGCTTTTCATTGGAAATTTCAAAAATTTCAAAAAAAAAAATCCAAAAACTTATAGACACTCCTTATTTGAGCAATTTTAACCACCTAAGATATTTGTCCTCATATCTTTCCCTCATATTAAACTAACACAAACTCCAACGTGCTAATCTAAAAATTCAAACACTTCTATTCAAGCTTGAATTGCCACTATTTTTTCTTATTTCTGCTATCATGCTTGTGCATTTATTGTTTATTGTTGCTAAGTATTTATAAAGGAAAATAACAAGAACTTTTGATCATCTAGGATTCAATTTTTAAAATTTTGCATTGTCACAAAAAAAAAAAAAAACTACAATTTATCTTTAAGAATCCCAACTCAAATCCAACTTTGGTATAAAATGAATTATCACCCAAATAAATAAAAGTTTCTTCTATTTCCGTTAGTCTCATCATTGAACCTTTTCTTTTAGTTCCTAATTATTTTTTATGGATAATCAAATAATTAAAGATAAAGAATAGGATAAATAAAATAAAAGATAAATAAAGATAAATAGGCAAATAAATAATAGGATAAATTAAGGTAAAAAATAATAATAGTAAAGATATATACAAAAATAATAATAAATACAAAAGATTAAATAAAGAAATGGATAAACTAAAAATAAATATCCAAAATTTGACAATTGAGCTTAAAGCTAATCTAAGCCCAATCTATTTGGTTTTGAGACAAAATGAAGTGTCTATGTTGGGAAATACTACCTGGTTTAAGCGTAAGTTGTTTAATGCAAAATTTGTCATAATAATTTTGGGGACCACTAAACGAATATTTTAAAATTTTCAAAACAGGGACAATCGCAACTAATCTTTCTTTACTAAGTGTGATTGGCAATCCAAAAAAATTTTCTTCCTAATAAAATTTTAAAATTAATTAAACTTATTAAAAAGATAATTTTTGTTTTATTTGTAAAAACAAACTTTAGTTCAAAAGTTCGGTTACCCATGAGAAAAAATTAACAACCCTACAGCTTCTGTTAAAAAATGATACCAATTAGTCACATGTTATCCTTTAATATTGATAAAAATTATCTTAATCTTAATATTTAAAATAATTCCCTTAATTTCATCTATTTTTGTAAAATATTCTTTTTTCTTTTTTTTAAAAAACATTTTATTTAGGAATACAACGAAAATCTTTAGCTTTGAAACATTTCCTAAATTCCCTAATATTTAGGTAAATTTTGAAAAATATTTCTCAACTTAAAACCGCCATAATAATTCTCAAAATATGGCATAATATTCTTTTATAAAGAATAATTATGGAAAAGCCCTCCAATATCTAGGTAGGGTCCCATAAAGTATTTTTTTACTTAGGACTATTCATTTTTATTTCTAAAAAAATAATTTTCAAAATCACCATTTATTACCATATATTTCTTTGGATAATAACTAAATGCAAGTAATGTAGTACATGCAAATAAGTGATGCAAACATAGATTAAAAGATACAAATACAAATACAAATACAAATTTAAAGATGCAATGATCAACTGAATTTATCCTATAACCCTTTAATTTTATCCCTTTTATTTCTTCATCTTTATTCATTTGTTTTGAAGAACATTTAGTGATAAAAGAAATTTTATTTATATTATTTTATGTTAGATAATTTTCTCTGATTCTTCAATATCTAAGCGAAATTTAAGAAAATCAATTCTTCATTTAAGAGATTTTTATAATCAAATTTTGAATTTATCCCTTTTAAAAATAAATCCTAAGCTTGACTCATTTTTTTAAAAAACAATAGATTCTAATCAACGAAACTAAAATTGAGTTCGAAAGTATGGTTACATAGAGAATATGTATATTTCATATTATCTAAAATTGGCCTCTTACAATGCCCTTCCAAAAGTAGTACTAGTTAATTTTATATTATCTAAAACTTTAAAATCTTACTAGATAATCAATTAGTGGA